GACCCAGATCGTGAATTGATCGTGAGGCCTTACTGTTACTAGAAGTCTAAACCACCAATAAAAGTCAAGCCGAAAACTGACATGTCGAAAATAGTTTGTGAAGCATTTGCTTTGAACATTAGAACAGGGAGGGAGGGAGGGAGGGAGGGATAGAAAAATATTTTGAGAGGAAGGAAGGAAGGAAGGAAGGAAGAAAGGGAAGAGAAGGGAAGGAAGGAAGGAAGGATAGAAAAATATTTTGAGAGGAAGGAAGGAAGGAAGGAAGGAAGGAAAGGAAGGAAGGAAGGAAGGAAGGAAGGAAGGAAGGAAGGAAGGAAGGAAGGGAAGAGAAGAGAAGGGAAGGGAAGGGACTGGCCTAGGGCAATTTTTAAGAGGGGTTTTTAGAGGGGTTTTTAATCATATTTTAATCAGACAATTTAAATATTTCATTTTAATTAATTTTAATTTTGTAATTGTTATTGGTGTTTTTAATCGATTGTCAGCCGCCCTGAGTCCGCAAGGAGAAGGGCGGGATATAAATTCGAATAATAAATAATAAATAAAAAAAAAAGGGAGGAAGGAAGGAAGGAAGGAAGGAAGGAAGGAAGGAAGGAAGGAACTAGAACACATCAGAACACTATGGATAAATATTAAGTATGACTACAAAGATACCTCCTTCAGCATAATAAGCTAGAGTTTGCTTATCCTCGGAAGCATTGTTGTTGTTTTTTATTCTCCCTTTATACCTGCAGATGTCTATTTAGCTGCCTCCACAGGACAAAGCAAGAAAAGCTGGTTTGTTGTGCTTAAGCTCTGGGAGATATGTACATTCTATTTAACAAGGCTTTGGTCCCACCTTGGTTAGGATATCTATCTTTGCTTTCCAGCTATCTCCTCTCTTCATCGATGGGCCTGGTGAAAGACAGCGCGAAATTGCGATCTGAAGACGGACACCGGAGCAAACACAAATTTCGGCAACTAGCACAATCAAAGTGTTGGTGCAGTCACCTTCGCAAGGATGTAATAGAGGGACGGATCCCTCTCACCCTCTTGATGTCCAAACCCACCATCTTTCTTCCACCCAAAGCCTACAGGATGAGCAGACGCTGACCTGATTCTCACAACATTTCTTCCCAACAAATTCTTTGTAATAAGCCGAAGGCAAGACCTACTTTCAAAGGAGAGAGGAGGACGTGGTTCAAAGTAAAACAGAAAAAAAAAAGATTGCTCTAGTGCTGTCTAACCAGAATACCCACGTTTCAAGATTTCTTCCCTTCTAATTTAGCTTTTTCGGCATCAACCTTTTGTTAGGTTTTGTAAGGACCCCCTATGAAATCTATGCCCTGCAGGCAGACACATCAGAAAGACAGACAAATGTACTGATGACAAGGTGTCGCTAAGGAGCTTAAAGCAAGGCCCTTTCCTTGAAATCTGTTTTTCTAGTAGTGCATCCAAGGCTGGTGGCAAAGCAGAAGTTACAATCTCCAGAAAATCAGGCACTTAAGTTCCTTGTGTCGCCCACCGGTTTAAGAAAAGGGAGGTCAAAACTAGAGACCCTTTGCGGTTGAAGTGAGTGTCTTCTCTTTCAAGTAGAGGCCTTATTCATAACTTTATGCTCGTCACCTACAAGTACCAGCAGATACAGAAAGATAGCCCTCCTCAACTGGTGTCCTAAACCTCGTGTTGACTTAAAAGTTCCCCACCCTTTGGTTACATCTGGAGGATGGCCAGTGATTGATAACACTAATAAAGTTCTCCCTTCCAAGCGTATGCAGAGCAAGGCCAGGCAATGCTCAGGAAAAGATGGAGCAAGACCCCCAGCAGAATCCCACCATCACCATCGATGGTCATCACCACCTAACTAGAGACACCAGCTTAACTCCAGCCAAGGTGCTTTCTAGGAAGCGGCAACAGAAATAGTCTTAATCAACTTTCTCCAGAAGGACCTCATATGGAAAGTCAACTTGGAAAGACACCAAAGGGACTCATCAACAAGGAGTTGAAACATCTGGGCGGACAACCTAGCGTCCGGTTGGCGACTCGTGGCAACCTGAACAGCGTTTCTTAAGGATGCTTACCTTGCGGTTCAGAACCTACATATAGTTGTTTTTTTTAAAAAAAAATGTACACCAAGGATTCCAAGGTTTCCTTATTTATAAATATACGGTATCTACATATTTACATGCACACGTTACACATTTACAACTCGGCAGGCGGAGCACACATATATAGGGCAGATGCATGACGACACCGCTGCACCCACAAACAAAACTGGGCGGAAATGACAGAAGCACCACAGAAGAAAACGCGCTGCGCCTAGACCAAGCCTAACGCTATTAAAAACACAAGTTTGCGATGAAGCTGCTTATTTGATTGCCAAGTCAACAATGAAGGCATTTCAAATCCAGAACTACTTCCTTCCCTTCCCTCTCTTCTCTCCTTTCCTTCCTCCCTCCCCCCTTCCTTCTTTCCTTTCTTTTCATTCCTTTTCTTTCATTCCTTTGACTTTGTCTTCTTTCTTTCTTTCTTTCTTTCTTTCTTTCTTTCTCTCTCTTTCCTTAAAAGGGCCGGATTAAAAAAAGAAAAACTCTTTAACACCTAGAATATCATCTTCATTGCACTTTAGGCCCGACCTAAGGCACCTTTCTTGCTATCTCTCCCAAGACTGCCTTTCTTCAGAAGGGTAACAGATCCCAACCTGGCTACTTCTGATGGGCTGGCTGCTGTGTCCTCACTCGGAAAGTAGCTTGCAGGACTCTTGGAAAAACAGATGCTGAGATAAAAACAACTGTATTCACTCGGGCGTCCAGACCAAGAGAAGGGATTCCTTCCATCAGACCTTCTTTCAGCCTTGTCCAATCCTAGCTACCGAAGGATCACATTTGTGACTTTCTCAACTTTTTCAAAAGCAACCCATGATATATTGTGGAATATGCTTCCTCAAGAGATTCCCCACCAACCCTTTAAAAAATAAAAATAAAAATAAGAGTGGTGGGATTCTGCACTCAAGTCTACTTTGCTAAGTCCAAATACACTGATTTTCATCCATATACACTTTGGGAGGGGGGGG